TAGAGTAAAAGGCTTTTCAGTGTCTGTTACTTGTTACGCTAAGATCGACCTGAGGCCATTTTTAGCCTGTCACATGTCCAAAATTTTCTTGGCGATGAGGGGGACTATCGCCCCTCTTCAAACCCCCAAAACATAAGGAGGCACATCCTCCTTCTGGCAACCCCCTGATGTAACCTTTGGATGGGGGGCGGCACAGAAAAAGTGGTCACTTTTTTTAACAACATTTCTCAAACGAAAAACAGTGTTTGGGGGGGGGGGACAAAAACCCGTCGAAACACGTCTATATCAGGGAAAAGGTTAATATGTAAAGAATGTATAAGTGTTGTAAATTTGATTAAGTTTTCATTTTGATCTAAATAAGGCCAACACCAATTTGTGTCTGTGTCCAACGTTACTGACAAACTTGTAAGTTGTTGCCCTCCACCTGTTGCAACCATCTCATCTACTTCCAACCACTGGCATTTGGCTAATTTGTCTTGTCAAATATATTACCTGATATATTGACCTGCCAAAGCTTGATTCTGATATTTTTGTTCTGGGTCAGAAATTTTGCCTCTAGAGGCGAGATATTGCTTTGCAAAAGATACTTCAGCAAACAGGTTGGTAAATAGTCAACTCTGCCCTATACTTACTTGGCACAGCTCAACTCGGCACAGGACAACTCGGCCCTCAATAAAAAATCAAAGGGCTGCAAGCTCTGAGGTATTTTCTGATCTTTGCAATCTAAATCATACTGACTATCTGCATGTATTTTCCTATATAAGTTTATTTTTATAAACTATAATTCATCTTACGCAGCGACTGCGTTAAGATTTTTTTCTATTACAGTTTGAGATTGATTATGTAACATAGATACATACTAGAGTTGCATCAAAAATCATTTTTTATGACAGCCACACTTTATCCTTGCATATCGTGGCTACTTCCTTAAAAAAGACACTTCAAAAAAAATTTGCACGACTAGGATTTGAACCTTAGGCCTCTCACACCCTAAACGAGCGCGATACGAGCGCGATACCCCTGCACCACGGTGAAGTATTAAGTAATAATTATGTAGCCTGAATAAAAAACAAATACATTGTAACTCTAAATTGAGAATTTCCATTTCGTGTTTGTAATCCTTATCAATTTCGAGGTATTTTGTTCATGATAAACCTGTTTAACACTGATAAAAATAATTTAGCGAAAATCTTCTCGCCCAAACAGTCCGACATGTATATATTCCACTACTCGGCAGTCAGATTTATTTGTGTACTACGCCCTGGAGTATTCAGTAATCGACGTAGCTAAACATAGCATTTTCATTGATTAAAATGATATTCATCCGCGAAATTTGTGATTGTAACCTCATATTTCTATTGACTAATCTGAACTTTTAATGCACTGTAATTCGTTAAATGCCTACATTAAAAATTATTCTGTCTTTTAAATTGCTGGTTTATAAGCAGTTTTGAGTGAGAACTACTTTGCGTTGTTAGGTCTGTTAGGAAATTTTGTGTTAGACCGTGGATGTTAGCTATGTATTTACTGATCTTGCGATCAGAAAATACAACAATATTAAACATATTAACTTCTTTGATTACTTGCATGTTGTAAAAGCCAACAAAATGTTATCAATGATAAAATAAGAGATATCTGGTTTATTATTATATAATTGTACATTGTACTTCTGCAGAATTTAAGTATATTTAAAAGAAATTTGTTTTTCTTGCAGATTCATTAAACATTGATATAATACAAATGTGTTTCCTTTGATGCTTTTTGTTTGTTAAGTAATCTTTAATAAAATATGAAATAAAAAAGCTTCTAATTAGTTGCAGGAGGTCATTTATCAAATTTGAACGATTGTGTCAAACATAATTATCCCCTGATTAATCGGTACTGTACCCTTTCCTGAACATACACATTAGTACATGATGAACTTGAACTGACCCTATGTAAGTCCTATTAAAATGATGTCGCTTTGAGATATTTTTGCTTCTGGGCTTGACCGAAGCCTGTAACGTCTAATATATTGGACTAGAAAAGGGCTGAACTGACTCAGGGGCCGAGTAATTTTTAGAGCTGAGCTGACCCTGATTCTACAGGTTTTATAGTACTTTTGCAAACAGGACGTTTCGGCCCCAAACCAAATCGGCCACTTTGCAAAAATTGGCCCCTAGACGTTTCGGCCCTTTTCTGCAAGACGTTTCAGCCCTTTTCTATAACAGTTTAATTAAAGTATTAAAAGAATTTTTATACAGAAAAATTGTTACAAATAGTAGTATATTGATTGATTGATGGCACTCAAATGATTAATTAAGACACTAAAATCCTTAATTAACAAGCATTTATCATAGTATTGCAAGCAATCCATAAGTCCCCTACCGGTTAGAACCTCATCAACATTCTGAAGGGCCATTGGCCATTCACTTATGTTTCAATTTTTCTCTATTTTAAGTAAATTTGTTGGAAAAGTTCTTTAAAAGTGATCACAGGAAACAGTTTTTATGAACAGACAGACAGACGGACTGAAGGACACTCAAAAGTTAATATTTGAAACATCCCTGTTACCAAAATATAACATTTTAAAAGCAAAATTCTTAAAGAGGAGATAACTCTTGAATTAAAGATGCAATTTCATAAACATTTTCAGCTCTTTTTGACTAATCACAAATATTGTTATATTTGCCATGTTTTAAGCCTATTTGTTGCCAAGGCAACAGATATTTTTTCAAAATAGGAAGAACAGATAAGACATGCATAATCTCAAGACTGCTATCTACCCATACATGTATGTCAAGTTTCATAAAAATATTTCCAGTACCTTTTGAGTTATCACTGGATTCAGTTTATGTGTAAAATTTGCCATATTTTCAGTCTATGTGTTGCCATAGCAACCAGAATTTTCAACATAGGAAGAAAAGAAAAAGATGTGCATAATCTCAAGACTGCCATCTACCCATATGTCAAGTTTCATAAAAATATTTCCAGTACTTTTAGCGTTATCACTGGATCCAGTTTATGTGTAAAATTTGCCATATTTTCAGCCTATTTGTTGCCATAGCAACCAGAATTTTCAACATAGGAAGAAAAGAAAAAGACGTGCATAATCTCAAGACTGCCATCTACCTATATGTCAAGTTTCATAAAAATATTTCCAGTACTTTTTGTGTTATCACTGGATCCAGTTTATGTATAAAATTTGACATATTTTCAGCCTATTTGTTGCCATAGCAACCAGAATTTTCAACGTAGGAAGAAAATAAAATAACGTGCATAATCTCCATACTGCCATCTATCCATATACCAAGTTTCATAAAAATATTTTCAGTACTTTTCAAGTTACCGTGGGATCCAGTTTTGTGGACGGACGGACTGGCGGACGTTCTAACAGGAGAGTAATTATGTGGCTACTCTATTGTTCTCTCTATTGTTCTTTTTAGCCACACAAAAGAAAATAGCCATATAAAAGCATTACGGAATGAATGACATCAAAGAGAAAGAACAGTTACCTATTGTCCCTCTAGCCACATAATTACTCTCCTGTGAGTGCGGACTGACAGACGGACGGACGGACAGAGGGTAAACCTAAAGTCCCCTCCGGTAAACCGGTAGGGGACTAATAATCCTTTATAGATTTATTGATCTCTTAATTTAACTATTGAGATAAATGCTATTTTTTTCAATGTGTAACAATAAAAGACACTTATTCCTTAATTTAATTTACAGTTGACAAACTGCAAAATCGTTTTGATTAACAAAGTTAATCACACTTACACCTCAAAAATCATTATCTTTTGATCTCTATTTACCATATAACAGCTATTTAACTATTTAGATATATAACGGATAAATCCGTGGATATATGTTTTTTTTCAAGGTGCAACAAATTAATCATTTATAGCTTATTGCTAACAAGCGGTTAGCAATATCAAAGATTTTTTTTTAAATTATGATTTGTTATAATTTCTTGAAAATATTCTGAGTTATTGTTGTACCATTCTGATTGAAAATCTATCACTTTAAAAGTAATATGAAATTAGGCAAGGCCTATGAACGGGGAAGTCGTTAAAAATTCCTTTCATTCTTTCTGTTTTAAAGGTGTTATTCGGTATTACATGCACCGCTTCCGTTTTCACTCGGAACACTCGACGATTATCATTTATCCGAAAAGTTGAGATTTGTTCCGTTATCGGAATACCCCGCCTATTATCATTGAGTTACATTGTAAATGGCGGCGCCCGACTAGAATTGACACTGAAAATTTCATTGATAGGTATAGAATTCTATATATTTTTTAATTGTTTTTTATTTGATTTTCTTTTACATATACACGTGTAGTCTATAGCCGGGCAAGCCAAAGCCCGGACCCGCTTCGCGGGCCTGGTCTTTGACTTCCCCGTATAAAAATGTAATTTATAAAAAAATGTCTGTTTTATTTCATGACAGTACAAGTATAATTTTTCAACTGTTAATGTTATGTGTTGTATATGCTAAAACTCGTCACTTACTATTAATTTAATAAATGTTTGTTCCATGTATTGTTCTATGTCTTGCTTTTAAATCGTTCAAATTAAAAAAAAACTTTTAGATGATAAAAAGATAAAATTCTGTTTCAGTGTTCGTGTACTAAATATGGGGCCGATTTGGCTATGGGCCGAAACGTCCGGGGCCGAAACGTCTTGGGTAATTTGGGGCCGATACGTCTTGGGGCCGAAATGTCTCGAAATCAGTACTTTAACTATTAAAGATCTACAATACTATAGGCCTAATCGTTACTAACAAGAATGAGAAATTAGATAATCTACTTTTGTAGAAGAAATGTTTAAAGAAAAAAATGCAAATTATTCTCAGAATCTTAAATTATTGCGATAAATTAAAAAGACAGTCATGGCAGCGCAACATTTCGATACAGGATTGTCCTTTTAAGCAAATGAAATCATTTCTCAGTAAATCTACACTGTGATAAAATCGGCTAAACAATTACAAAGTTATTGTTTTGATAATGCACAACTTACGCTACACGACGCCATATTTCAAGGCCATTTCACAGTTGTAAATTTTGATTGGTTTATCGGTTTATAGAATTGTATAAACTTACCGTTGATTGGATGACGTGTGTTTATATTTTGAAAAGTAAATGGGTCATAAAAATATGTACGCCACTAAATTATTTCCTCACCATCGGTTGTAGGCAGTTGAGTACTAAATTATCGTAGACATATTCAAAGTTAGTTCCATTTTAATAAAGTAAGTACTGTGAATAAAGTATATGTTTACAAATATGAGTAAAACAGAATTAAAATTATTAAGTGAAAAAATAATTATTAAGAAAAGATAGCCAACTGTTTACCGTTATAAACAAACTGGTACCAAATAATCTCTCTTTTGCCCAAAATGCATGCACGTTGATGAGAGGCACGATACTTTAGCAGAAGATATACAGAACTCGGTGTAGTAAGCAAGTCCACTGTCCGTAATACAGAGTAGATCCAGTATTCCATGTTTTATTCCATTCATTCAGTAATGGTTTATCATTTAATAATGTTTTTCTTTTATTCATCACATATAGATCTATTTATGAAAACAAAAAAAAATAAACAACAACATATGAGAAGTGGATCTACTATTGTATTACAAGCATTGGTCAGAATAAAAACGCTTCCCACAAAATAGAGTAAGCCACGCCTTTAATATATCAAATATCGTTATTTTTACTGTACGTTTACTTGATGCTTGTGAGTATATACTTATATATATAGATGCAACACATATAATAAAATATTCATAAACCATCCTTCGGGTCTTGTTAAGTGCTAGTAAGCCATCCAAATATATTACATAAATGTTTCACTTGGAACGGCGAGACAAAAAAAGCTCCCAATCAAAATAACAAAAAAAAAACCCAACTGTGTGTCTTGTGGACCATGCACCTGCCAATGTATGAATGGCCCTATACTACCGGCTGGGACGACGAGGATGTGTACCAGCTAGGGTGTGTGAGCCTTGTTATGGTATCAAGAACGATAATTTTTTATGCAATATTTTAAACTGGTATTTGTGTTACTTTCCTTTATTTGTTATATCTAAGTAACTTGCTTGTATATGTACCTCTCTGACACCAGCATTTTCTTTTCATCTCTGGTCATAATAACGTCTGTGTAAACATATTCACGAATGAAATAAATAAATAAATAGCTATATAGAATCTTGTTATCCCCCATGATACATAATGGTAATAGCCATTACTTATTATATACCTATAAATTTTCTTCCTAAAATAAATACGGAATATTATGTTGTAGTAGCTTTCTGAGGCTCTGTATTTTGCTACGAGCAGCGGTGGAAAATTAATATCTCGCGAGACCGAAGGTCGAGCGAGATATCAATTTTCCAACGTTGCGAGTAGAAAAATACATAGTCCCAGAAAGCTACTACAACATAATTTTCATTTTATTATATACCTTTTCGTTTTATTCAGAAAATGAAATGTAGTTGTCAAGAAATAAATTCATGACTGACGGATGAATATGTAATTCTTGCAAATAGGCCACGCCTTTAATAATTTTGGTTCCCGTTTCCAAATGCAACGTTATACAAAGCTAAGATCGGAACCAACGTCAAAAATAGTCCGGCACTTCCATATATGGTACCGTATTTGTCACTAACATAATACGGAAATTTCTATCCGTTGAAGAGTATTTGCGCTTCAATATTTGCGTGTATTTTAGGCAGAAAATTTATAGGTATATAATAAACGCCAATATTAAAGCGCAAATACGTTTCATCGGATAGAAATTTCCGTATTATGTTAGTGACAAATACGGTACCATATATGGAAGTGACGGACTGTTTTTGACGTTGGCTCCGATCTTAGCTTTGTATGACGTTGCATTTGGAAACGGGAAGCAAGATTATTAAATTAAGGCGTGGCCGGTTTTCAAGAATTACTTGGGTATTCATCTGTCAGTCATGAATTTATTTCATAACAACTCCATTTCATTTTCTGAATAAAACGAAAAGGTACGTATATAATAAAAGGAAAATTATGTTGTAGTAGCTTTCTGAGACTATGTATTTTTCTACTCGCAACGTTGGAAAATTGATTCGGTCTCGCGAGATATCAATTTTCCACCGCTGCTCGTAGCAAAATACAGAGCATCAGAAAGCTACTACAACATAATACTCCGTATATATCAGTCCAACTACGGAATGCCGTTAGGGCCATCGCCTATGAATGTGTTGATCTAAAACGCGATAGTCGATAGTACGATGGTGAAAACGCGAAATCACGAAACTACGATGGTGAAAACGCGAAAGCACGATGATGAAAACGCGATAGTACGATGATGAAATCGCGACAGTACGATACTACGATGATGAAAACGCGATAAACTATCGTGTTTTCACCATCGTACTGTCGCGTTTTCACCATCGTAGTTTCGTGATTTCGCGTTTTGAGGGACTCTGTAGACTTTATAACACGAAATAAACGTGCGTTGATGCTATTATAGCGTAACATTTTAAAACAGATTCATGTAAAGATGATGTTGTATATTTAATACAAAACACAATTACATTAAATCCTTGTGCTTAGACGGTATTTATCCAATGCCACATATTTTACGTATGCGTTTTATTTTTCCGGGGCCAACAACTTGGGAAATTCTCAGAACCAAACGAAATTTTGAATTTTAATTGATTTAACAAAGCTTGACACTGGAGATTTATTATCTCAAATAAAAAACAACGTTACATTACTCAACCCTCTACCCAAGACAAAACATGACCCTCAGAAATTTTTAGAATGATTTCATATTGACGGTAGAAAAAAGATTACTGACATCAGAATCGGTTTTTTTCAAGCACACAAGTTTATAAAAAAAATCAGGAACTAAACATTATTCTCTCAAAGAAATATAAAGAGCAGAAACATCAATGAAACAACATTTTCTCATATTTATTGGCTGCAAGCCATTTGTTTTGAATAACTTGTTCCGGTAAGGTGGTTTCCTGTTTCCTGTTTCCAATTGTTAGTGCATGATTGAACGGGAAACCAGCTGCAATCGTGTCAATCGCAACTTTTCGGCCTTTTCCGTCACTCTTCGGATTACTGATAATAGCCGATGTAGTTCCGATTGCAATCGTGACAATTCGGGCGATTCTGTCATATTGCGGAATCAGACAAAGTAATATTACGGAAACCTAAGCTATTTTAGTTACTTCGGTAATACCAGTTTGTTTATATAAATAGGATTTCTATTTTTACTTGATTTATCGGTTTAAACCGTAATAAATTATAAACGAAATTGTTCCGTTTCAATTGTTTTTCAAGACGCAAAAGTTAGTTTCTTTTATAATTGTTTTTTGTCTGCATTAGTTTTATACAATAGAGAATGGTGACTGTAGTAGTATTCCGTCTTCAAAGGGTGGTCTTGCTTACCAAATCACGCATGATCGAGTTATATTTAGATCTACTGAACGCAATTCAACTTCTTGGTGAGGTAATCTAAAAATTGCCCATGCATATCATTAACCATGCCACGTGCTGATCTACAGATAGCGAGCGCATCGTATTTGTGATCGTGTAACATAGTTGATACATGCTTATTAATTGGTACCACGGAACGAATTATTTTAGTGCATTTACTTGTCTATAAAGCAAACGAATGATTTCTCTGCGAAAAATGGGAAATGAAATGTGCACACTTGTTTCCTTTCAGTATGATAGATAGCTCTCCACGTTAATATTTTTACGATTGATCATTTTCTTTATTAGTTTTATACAATAGAGAATAGATTTCAAATCGTTTTGACAAAAAATATTCGTTTTTCCAAAAAAAAACCCCAACTAAATAAACCCTTTATGATATACAAATACCGTAATTCAAAAAAATTGTGATAATAAATTGAAACAAAAAAAAAACAACAAAAACACAACAATTTTAAAGGGTTGGGATAAAGGCACAACTGTACAAGCCTTTCCTTTTAAAAGGAAACTTTATTTTGTGTTATCTTGTTTTGTAAGCTATGTTTTGTTCCCAATTAGATGTGCCTTGTTTTATAATTACCTGTCCCATATGAGCCAACACAATGTTGTCCCATATGAGCCAACACAATGTTGGACAAATTAAGGCCAATAAGGATAAATACTAGTTCCCTCAACACAACCCCATATGAGCCATACAATATGGACACACTCAGACCCCGTAACAAAACATACAGTTATATGAGCTAATCTCAGGTTATATGTGAAGAATGATATAGAAGGGAACAGGCCCAAACAAAAATAAAGCAGCCCATCAATTAAACGGTACACATTTTAGTTTGTTCTGTTCTATATCATTTGCTGAGTCTCACGTTCTTTGTTTAAATGTATTTTTTGTAAACTTTTATATATCTTTATTTTTGGAAATAAAGGCAAATCGCCAATAAAAATTTGCTCTAAGAGTGGGTCGTTGATAAACAGAAGATCAAGTACACAAATTTTATATAACATTTATTAAATATCAAAATTGGACTGAAAAAAGGCTACCTTATCATTTAGGCATTTTATCAAAATTCAAAATTGACCGTGGCAACCAATGTCTGTGGCACCGTTAAGCTGCTAGTGCTTTGTGACGGCCTTAGCAACAACACTTCACTGACTGAAAATAAATTTCTTAGTAAATTTAATTAAAACAATAAAATGCGTCTGTGGCTTTCCATATTTTAACAAAACAAAATTCAAAATTGGACCGATATAGGCAGAATTTATCTTTGGGAAATCATTTCATATTTTATAAATTACTAAATTGTCTGTGGCTTACCGGCAGCCGGATCGATATGCGAGTGATGGTAACATATGAGGCGGTTATCTCGATATATCTGAGACATCTGGAAGAACTACATGACGGGATGAAGAAGACCACTCTGAGGGGATGAGAAGTCCATGACCAAGCCCAAAAATGTCGCACTCTCAAAGTAGGCATTAAGGGGGGAGGTCAAAGAAGACATCTTCGAAGACCGAAGACGTGGAAGAGTTCTTCTAGACCCACCAGATGAGGGAAGCAGTCCATGGTCCTCAGTGAATTACTGAATTTCAATCAAATAGGTCACCACTTTAGAATTATAACATACTTTAAGGGCATGACTGGTGACATGTCCGGGGTCCGTACTCGATAGCGAAAGCTGCTTTTTTTAAATGCAATAAACAATAATTATAAATGTCATGCTACAGCCGACTTTGACTTATCTCGCCCGAGCAGACGAAAAGTTGGTAAAGGGGGTGTGGCAATTCTGTGGCATAAGAGACTTGATAATTGTATTACGCCTTTAGCTATAGATGATGATCATATCATAGGTATTCAGATACAGATACAACCACAATCATATGTGTTTCTATTTCAGATATATTTACCATGTTCTAATCACCCTATAAATGTTTTCAGAGATTATATTGATAAACTTTATAACCTGTGGTATATGTATGCTGAAATTGGTATACCCATATTTGTTGGAGACTTTAATACTAATTTGCGTAGTAATTTAAGTGCTAGAGAACATATTCTATCTGGATTTTTAAATGATACAAACTTGGTCGCAATTGACATGTTAGAAAGTTGTCAGGGTGCTAGGAACACGTTTGTTTCATATGATAATTGTCAAGAATCATTTATTGATCATATTTGCATGCCAATTGAATTTGAATATTGCTCTGTAAAATGTGAAATTATTGATGATGAATGTCTAAACGTCTCCCGACACAGACCCATTATTTGTTCATTGAAATTTCCTTTAACCCCTACTGACGGCACACGTACGCTTGATAATGACTGTTCTCCTAAAGTCAACTGGAGTAAAGTTACAGCAGAGGATAAGCAACATTATACTTCCCAATTAGCAGAGCGCGTCGCCATAGAAGTCTTCAGATTGATCCCAACAGATACACACGGCATTGACAGGGCATATCAGACTCTCGTAGATAGCATTAATGTTGCATCGTCATGCCTACCCGTACCAAAATTTAAACGTCACGTCAAGCCGTACTGGAACGAGGAGCTAAACAAACTTCACAAAATAATGGAAAGGAAACGCGCTTCATGGTGTATGGAAGGCCGCCCGCGTAACAATGACAATAATGTTTATCGTGAATATAAAGACGCGAAACGCTTATTTCGACGAGCGCATAGACATTACACAGAACTATTTATGTCGAAAATGGATAGCGAAATTGACCAAGCAGCTGAAGTCGATTCTAAATCATTCTGGAAAATGGTGAACTTGCGGCGAAAAAATATTAATTCTAGTGCAGGTGCAGGAATCAAGTTTAACGGAGATGTATACAGAGATCAGCAGGCGTTGACTGAACAATGGGCTATATACTTTCAAGACTTATATACGCCAACAGAGAATCCAGAGTATGATAATCAATGGCGAGATTCCGTTAACAGTTACGTGTCAAATGTTATCAACACCAGTGTTCCGGATACGAATGCAACTGTGTCTGCTACAACTATCGCTGACCTTATAAAATCTTGCCCCAAAGGAAAAGCATGTGGTCCAGACAAAATAACTTACGAACATCTCATAATAGCTAATGAGATACTTTCGCCTCTACTCGCAAACCTATTTACGGGTATGTTACGACTTTGTTATATCCCAAAAACAATGAAAATGGGTTCAATTATTACCTTACATAAAGGCGGGAAAAACGTAGAGATAACCCGAACAATTTTAGAGCAATAACTCTTACATCCGTCGTTTTAAAACTGTATGAAATGGTCTTACTGCAACGATGTAAAGAAACAATATTGGACACCATACGTACTCAGCAAGGCGGATTCCAGGAACAGCTAGGGTGTCTCATGACGTCATTTGTGGTACGTGAAAGTGTTCTCTACGCTGCTGAACAAGACAGCAAGTTATACATATGCTTTCTAGATGGACGCCAAGCCTTTGACCGTGTATGGCATCAGGGCTTGCTATATAGACTACATGAAACAGGCATCGACAGCACTTCTTTTCTTAACTTTGTTGAAATGTATAGGGAAATTTCAAGTACCGTCAGAAATAGAGGTTACGTATCCAATCCGATTTCAATTCGCCAAGGCACACGTCAAGGCAGCAAAAGTTCGCCGTTATTATATTTATGCTTCATAAATGGACTAATCAAAGAGCTTGAGTCTTGTCAAGCTGGTTTTTGTATGTACAATATGAACATTTGTGCACCGACTGTAGCAGACGACATGATACTTGTAGCTTTCTCGAAACGAGGACTTGAACATATGTTAACTATTTGCAGCGAATATTCACGTAAGTGGCGCTACGATTACAATTCAGAAAAGTCTGGCATCATTGTGTTTAACAACCGTAACAAACACCCAGCAGAAAGAGTGTGGACATTAGGGTCACAGCACGTGAATGAAGTTGACGAATATACACACCTTGGAATTACTTGTGATAAAAATTTATCTTCAAAGAAATTCATACAAGAAGCTTGTTCAAAACTCAGAGGAACCTACTTAGGCATCGTGAACAGTGGTCTACACCCGGAAGGTCTTAATCCGTTGACATACAGAACTATATATGCATCGGTAGTTATACCCAAGGCTATGTTTGGCTGCGAATTACTAAATAGTTATTCCAAAACTGAAATGAACTTACTTGAGCGTTCGCATAGATTCTGCATTAAGTCAATATTGGGACTCAAAGGAAACACAAACACGAACTACAGTCTAGCTACAATAGATATGGACTCATGTGAAACTATAATAGACAGTAGAAAATTAACATTCTTTGGACAGCTCTGTCGACTACCGACTCGATATATGGCTAAGACTGTCTTCTTGAATCGTCTTACTAGATATTTGAACTGCGACGAACAAATAATGGGGTTTATTCCAGATATCTACAGAATTTTAGTGAAATACAACCTATTACATGTGTTACAAACATACACCTCAACCGGAATATTTCCATCTAAATGTCAGTGGAAAAATGTGATACAAAGATGTGTAGCAATGCCTGCTAAATATGAAAGACTTAACGCCCTTTTGGAACTTCGACCATCAGCTCCAGAGTTCCTTCCAAAGGTCAACAATCCATGTGCACTTTTCTCTCGTGAAATATATTCAAAAGATGTGCGGCTATGGATTATGTCCCTTGTATCGGTCGTCGGGAACTTGTTCTCTAGACAATACATTCAGAGTTGTTCTCTGTGCAACGCCACGTGCATTAATATCGTGGATCATGTTCTAAACTTTTGTATTAAAAGGACAGATATTCGACAATTACTTTGGTCCTACATGTTTGAAACTATGGGGATTAATGCGTATGTAGAATGGATAATGTGTGCTCGAGAAAGACAGACAGATCAGCTGATAGCGTTGGCGTTTTATCAAGCGACTTGCCGTCAGTACACATTCTTGAAAATGCTCCATAAAATGTTTAGAAATACATTTACTTGATTTTCTATGCTATAATTTGGAACTGTGTAATGTATATTTATGAACTTATTTGTTGGCATTTAACACTCGTATGCTAAGGTTACTTGTACAAGATTTAAGACAAACAATATTGTATAAGCATTTGTATCAAAGTGTCAAATACCTTATGTCATTTCAGAAGCCTATACTTTTTTCGATTCGACCAGCATAGGCTATTGTTTAATATGGCAGACCCGATAGCATAAAATGTGCCTCACATAGACCAAGTTCTTTAAGTAATTTCGTTTTCGGCTTTAAGATATTGAATCTATATAAGACACAATGTTGTATTTTAAAGAAGTATACGAACCTATATGAAAAAAAAAATCGTAACAGTTATTCAAAGTCAAAATGCAATAATAGTAGCAGCATTAGTAATATTTCTTTACTTGCAGTAATTTATATTGTTCAATTCTCTTGAATGAAGTCATAATGACTCTAATATGACAATGTTAATATCGTTATATGGTACATTATTACTACTTATTGGTATACTAAGAAAGATACAGCTATTTTCCAAAATTGTCTCTCTAATTCTAAAATAACACAAAGCATAATGTTTTCAATTTTGATAATAAATGACTGCTAAAGAACTAACCCAAAGTTCTATTACCATTTAAAATGTATTGTTAAAAATATTTGTTGAACACATTTTATTATTCTATTCTTAAACTTTAACAACGAGTTATATGCGTCCTTTTGTGGAGAGATGCTTTATGTAATTAAAACACCTGATGGCTTATGCTCATAATATTACATATGCATATATTTGTTTACCATTATAAGGAAACTTGAACGTAATTTATGTACATAAATATTTGTATATTATGTCAATGTCTTTATGCATGTATATATGTTCATTTGTTGTACTCTTCAAATTTGGAGGAATAAAAGAATCTATCTATACCATACTATAAGGTATGGCCTCTGTTTATTGTTTTAACCAACAATACTTAAACATGTGCAAAGAATAGTACATACATCAATATTATGCAAATTAATACAATATAGAAAATACACATGTAGGAATAATAATTAATCGAGTTCTACTATAATAGTAAGAAATGTGAGGGTTTCGTAAGAAAAACGCCATAAAAGCTAGAATTAGACTAGCTTTTCTCCACATATGACACTGGAGGCATGGCCTTTGCCGCAGATATTTAAATTAAAAATAGTAACACTTTAAATTCTTAATAAGAATAAATCCATAATTTATTTAATTCGTAATTAATATATGCTTATGTTTTTAATCATTTTAATTTCATGTTGCCATATAAGAGATACCACCCATTAAAATTCTGGCTATTATTAATTAATAACATTTTTATGATTCTTATATATATCGAGGGTTCAAAGGTAAAAGGTTATAACTGCCATTTTTGCTGAAATCGACTTTTTATGTTTTTTATAATGTACTTATTGTCCTTTATGTTTGGCGAAAATATTATATAAATATTCAATCCTTATAAGGGCAAAACTTTAAAAAGTACTTTGTGATAACTTCTTTTCTACAAATTATGTAGGGGTAAAAGGTTATAAGTGTACTTATTACCTGTTGTTTACTTGTTGTTCCACATGTTGTGAAGAATCTGTAGTGGAAAAGGGTTATAACTGATTTTATTACCTTTTTCCTCTGACAGAATACGGCATTCATACAGTTCACAGGCACTATTTGTTATCTCTTTTTCCAAGAAATTTATCTTGTAGATTTAAATGCAGCTAGAATATAACCGAAGATGAAAGAGAGAAAATATTCAGTACATACTGGTCAATGGGTGATTACAAATGTCAGAGGCAATTCATTTGTTTCCATGTTGCCAATAAAGAACCAGAGAAGGTATCTAAACAGAGAAGAAAACAAAGAACTATTTCAAATTCGTAGAAATGTAGAAAAATGCAAAGGACAAAATAGAAGGTGTGTTTCAGGGGCTGTGTACAGAAACATTTTCTGTACAGAATATAACTTGTCTTTCTTCCATCCTAAGAAAGATCAATGTCCACTCTGCAATCTGTATGACACTTTGAGAATAGAAGATAGACTAGATGAGGCAACAAAAGCAAAATATCAGGTACACCAAGAAAGAAAAAACAATGCTAGAATGGAAAAATCAGCCGATAAAGAACGGGCAAAGAAAGATCCAAAGTCGGCATTTGATATCCAGGCTATATCGCCAAACACCATGCAGTTTAAAGGGAGACACAGGCAAATTTTTCATTTCTTGGTTTTGAATTTTTCATTCATTATTCTGTAAATGCCCTTAAAATGAATATATTAGACAGTCAATGGAACAAAACTTTTCTCCATATAAAGAATAAAATGGTGGTTTCCTAACTTGACCCGCGTGGGTCAGGTTAGAGCGCTATGAGTTCGCAATATTTGTCAAAGTGAACTCTGGAAACGTAAAAGAACATGTCAAATGAATGACTTAGACTTGTTTCAATCATACAATATTCAAAATATATGTTATTGTAACTTAAAAGGTTTGTTCAAGTCACCAGACTTGGTGATTCTATTGGCGTCTAAATTTTGTTCAACATATACAGATATATTTACGTTTCAAACCCAAAATATATAAAATTCAAACAGAAATTAATGCTGATACTTCAAGAAACGTCATTTTAGCCTTATTTGAGTACATAAGATCATTTTAATATTTTTGTCATTATTTCGCCTGAATATCCCTTTAATTGGTGAACTTTATTACAAAAGAAAACTGTGTTGTTACAATTTGTCATTCTATGAACTGGGAAATGGTAACGGGACTTGTTATCTTTGGGATGAGACACGGGGGAAACGAGGCTCGTGCGAAGTAGGAACTTGTGTGTACATGTATGTTACTTCTGATGCAAGTAAGACATCTGTTATTGAAGAAGTGACATTATACAGTGATACATGTGGTGGACAGAATCGCAATCAGTTTGTCGCAAGTTGTGTCCTGTATATTCCTCACAACAAGTGTATAAACCACAATTTTACTCATTCAGAAATGGAATGTGATTCCATACATGCATCTTTCGAGCATGCAAAAAGCCTCACAAAAGTATATGTTCCATCTCAGTGGGAAACAGTTATAATTTATCATTAGCACGCCGGAAGCAACCATATATTGTCGTTCTAATAAAATACACTGACATACTAGATTACAAGTTGTACAAAGAACAAAACTTTGGCTCGTTGATGGAGAACGTGTTAATTGGCTGAATATAAAATGGATTCAAGGTCGTAAAGACAAAGAAATGAAAGAATACAGTTTTTTGTGA